GATGATTGAAATATGTGCTAGATATATGTATGTATATATGTATATACTCTGCACCTGGTGCTTGAAAACTAATCCTGAAGTCGTGTTACTTTGGCTCAATGAAATCAGCGCCAAACTTGATTATTGTCTGGCAGTTACCCGGCTGCATGTTAATGTCCCTTGCCGCTCCACCCACGTACCATGTGCCATGTTCCGTGTGCCGACATCCGCGTCGGACGTCCTTGCGCCCCTTTCTCTTTTTTGTGCGCCATTTGTAGTCACTGATTAAAATACGTGGTCAACTTTTTGGGCAGCCAATTGAGCGCTCGTTTAGTAAGTTTCGCTTAATTCGTTTTAGTAATTTATGGCAAAGCTCTGGCACAAGCTTCCAACCTAAATCAGTGCACACACTCACACTCACACTCTCACACACACACAGACACAGACACAGACACCCTCTCGCAGACGGTAGCCAAAGACCGGGAGTAAGAAAGAAAAAAAAAACTTACTCAAGCTGAAGCTTGTGGCGCACCCATAGCCAGATAAAACTCTTCATTCATTCATTCATGTCGACAAAATTATTTATTATTTAAATAAAATGCTGAGCAGCGTCTCCAAGTTGATGCTACCCACTTAATATACCGCAAGAGCCCGCACTTACAACGACGCCAAAATGAATAGCGGGGTATGTAAACATAAATTTTGTGTAGCTCGCCCTAAAACATCAGGCCAGACCCACTGTCGCAGCTCCTTGATACTCTCTCTCTCTCTCTCACTTTCGCTGTCTCTCTCTCTCTCTCTCTCTCTCTGTCTCTTTCTGTCACAACCCACATTTTGTTATCATCAACCGAGAGAATATTCTATGCATGCACACAAATGTTGCCGTTGTCATTGAATCACGCTGTGCCTGCGGTTGGGGGTGCGGGCTGGGGTTGGAGGCATTAGCATGGACTCCATTTTGATGACTGACTTTGTACGCCATTGTCTGAGCTTTGTGGTATGATGAAGCGTCGCTTGGAGAGTCTGCCATATTTTACAGTACCTCTGCAAGCCACCGACCCGCATATGCTGACAAGCCCCTAATCCCAGGCGGGCTGCCGGCGCCCTGATTAACGTTTTTCATCTTGTTAATAACTATATATTGCCTGTTCATTTGTGACCAACTAACAAACACTGAGCAACATGGTTAATATTTTAAAACATCTCACGGCTCGTTACATATTTCGATTAACTTTAAGAATGGCGCGTTCAATAGATTACTTGATTTCAGCCACAATTCCGTATTCCTCCGATTGTCTAATGGAAAAACGAGAGCAGGGAGCAGGAAGCATTCCAATGATATTTAATATAGTTCTCATGCGAAGTGAATAAATACATTTGTCGGTTCTCTATATGATATTTCTCTTAGGAAATCGTAGAAAACATTAGAGCCTATTCTCATGCTTGGCTGAACATCCGTGTGTATTAAACGATTGCGAATAGCGCCCAAAGCAAAATGAATAATAATTACGCTCTTAAGAGAGCAAGCGACGGAGAGTGCGCATAATGCACACATATGGCCCTAATATATGGCTAATGAATGTGAAACATTACCAACATTGAATGTAGTTTAACAATTATTAAATAAATTATTAACATCTATGTCAGCAAGCTGCATTAAAGTCGTTCCTTAAGGGACTTCATTATAATCATTATTGGCTAAGGTAAGGCCAAGCTCTGTGCAACATTATTAATATTAAACATTGTTTAATAGTTGTTCAATAAATTACTACAGCCCTCCACTTGATTCTTGCTTCTTCAATTATTTATTCTGAATGCTCCATTATTAAAGAGGACTTCATTAGAACTTTATTGCTGCATATTTCATTTGGTTTCTCTTGTTAAACACTCAGTTAAAGTCTAATTCATCTCAGTTTTAGCTCTAGTGATTGTTCAACACATTTCATGAAGTCAATCATGCAGTCCTAACAGGTAATTTAAACTAATATGCTGCAATTATTTGCTTATTGGCTCATATTACTGTCGCTTAGTGTAATTATTGACAAAAGTGAATGCGTTAGTCAAAATTTCAAAAGGGCCCCATCATCTTTTATGTCCCTGACAGACCCAAGCTCGTGCCCAATGGCTGCACCTATTGAAAGTTCACGTTTCTAATGCTAGCCAAATAAATAAAAAAACAAAATGAGCGAAGCAAATAAGAAAAAAGAAATAAAAAATGAAAGAAATGAATATAGCACACAGCCGTTACATGTTTTTTAAACACAAACACACGCACACACACCCGGACATCTGCGTATATGTAAATGTATAGAAGAGGCTCATTTAAATAAAAGAAAAAAAATATAT